CCCCAGAACCAGCACCTCCAGTCCCAGGGTCTCCAGCCCCCACGTCTCTAGCAGTAGCACCCCCAGAACCAGCACCTCCAGTCCCAGGGTCTCCAGCCTCGGTGTCTCCAGAAGCAGCACCTCCAGACGCAGCACCCCCAGCCCCAGCAGCTCCAGTACCTCCAGTACGAGCACCTCCGGGACCAGCGACTCCAGCACCTCCAGTAGAAACAGTACCAGCACCACTCCCAGCTCCAGGGACGGCAGCAGAAGTACCTCCAGCAGTAGAGCCCCGGGCTCCAGCAGCGCGACCCTGACGGCGACCGTACCAGTCGTGCAGCTGCTGCGAGGTGAGAGGCACACGTGGACGAAGGCGGCTACTCCAAGGAGACCGCGCAACAGCAGACTCTGAACCCTCAGCGCCAGCACCCTCAGCAGCTCCAGCGCCACCAGCACCAGGACCTCCAGCAGCTCCAGAACCTCCAGCGCTAGCACCCTCAGCAGCCCCAGAACCACCAGCTCCAGCACCTCCAGACCCCTCACACGCAGGCTCAGCACCTCCAGGCTCGACACCCTCAAGCTCCGCACCCCCAGGCTCCTCACCCCCAGGCTCAGCACCCCCAGACTCAGCACCCCCAGAAGTAGCACCCCGAGCAGGACCACCCCCAGCAGGACCTGAGTCACCAGTGACCTCAACCAGCGCAGGGAAGGGAGGAGGGTCTACCTGAGACACACCTGAGGGAGCAGGACCTGGAGCGGGGAGAGGGTCGACCTGGGGAGCACCTGGAGCGAGGAAGAGCGGCGGGGGAGGGAGAGGGGCAGTGCGGTAGGGGAAGAGACGGTAAAAGGGAACCGACTCATCGAACGTGACGTCCTGAGACGCAAAGACACGGCGCGAGGTGGGGTGGTAAAACTGCCAACCAGGCGCGTCAGGGACAAAGCCAAGGAAGACACAGGGAACTGCACGGGCGGAGAGCTTGTCTGCGGTGGTATCGCGGACAAAGGCACGAGCACCCCAGACCCGGAAACGCGACGCATCGCCAACCTTCCCCGTCCACAGCAGTGTGGGCGAGGTCTCCGGCAAGGAGACACGGGGCCAGAGGTTGAGCTGATGCGTGGCGTACCGGACCGCAAACGGCCATAGAAAATGGGGGGCAGCTGCATGGATCATGGAGGTACGAGCGACCTCCATGACTAAGCCAATGCGGCGCTCAGCAACCCCATTCTGCTGCGGAGAGTCCGGAAGCGTGAACGACTGGGTGATGCCGTGCTCCGCACAGAAGGCCGCCAAGAGGTCGGAGGAGAACTCACCACCTCTGTCAGAGTGCAGACGCAGGACGGGAAACTCCGTCCCGAACCGCTCGCGGAGCTGGAGACGGGCAGCGCGGATCCAAGGGATCAAAACAGCAGGGACCTCCCCCTTGCTGCGCAGGGGAAAGACCGTGGTGTAACGCGTGTAGTCGTCAACAACCAGCAGGAAGTACCGCTCGTGGCCCTGTCCACGGACGCGGGCTGGGCCCCACACGTCCAGGTGGAGAGTCTGCAGGGGAGCCTCTGTGGGAGGGAACGAGGAGGAGTGAGGAGCGGCGCGCTGCCGCCCCTCGACGCAAGGAATGCAGGGCGGCGCAAGCGAGGGAGGCAGGGCAGGCAAAGACCTGGGCAGACCAGAAACCAGGAAGCGAGAGTGCATGCCACGAAGGCGCTGCACCGAGGGGTGACCAAGGCGGTGGTGCCACAGGAAAGTCTGGTGCGACAAAGCGCGACACTCGCAGGGGGCCGTCGGCTGACCGGACGCAGACGCAGACGCAGACGCAGCTACCTGAGCGGACGCAGTGGTCAGGGTGTACAGACTCGAGCCAGGCGCACGGGAAAACGTGGCCAGGTGTCGGCCGGTCCGAGCACACGTGCAGTGAGTCACCCGCTGACTCGCAGGAGTGAACTGGTGCACCCCCTGATCCTGGAGGTCAGCTCCACTCACCAAGTTCGTAGAGAACGAGGGGAGGTAAAGACCTGACAGCAAGCCAGACGGGGCGGCCGGACACGGCAGAACCGTGGAGTAGTGGGCAAGGACTAGACCCCCAGAGGGGTCTACCAGGGAGACTGCAACCGGCCGACTAAGCGGCGTGAGTGTGGTGCAGTCGCGAAAGAAGGAGCGGGAAGCACCTGAGTCAAGCGTGAAGGTGTACAAGGCCGCAGCAGGCGCAGAACTAGAGAGAGCAGACTCACCAGCACCTGGAGCAGGAGACGTACCGGCACCTAGAGCAGCAGCCTCACCAGCACCCAGAGGAGGAGACGCACGAGCACCTAGGGCAGCAGCCTCACCAGTACCGGGAGCAGCAGGTGCTATACCAGGGTCAGGCGGGACGCACAGGTAACAGGCACGGTCAACACTAGTAGGCAATGCATACATGGCAGTGAGAATAGCATCATAGTCAGGAGCAAAGATATCTACCCTCTGTCCAAGCAGCTCCAGCCAGTCGGGGAGCTCAGCCTCGTCGCCAAACACTGTACGCCAGTCGTCGCTCAGACGGGCGAAGCAGCGGGACTGTGTGTGACCAAGCGTCCCGCAAGGCTGACCAGTCCTATCACCGGTGCGAATGACGTACTGGCAGCGAACTGTACGCGTAGACCTGCTACACTGAGCGTACCACTCGTGGAGCTGCCGGGACGTAAGTGTCTCGCGTGGGCGCCGCTGCAGCTGCAGCTGGCCACTGCTAGAGGCCCCCAACTGACCAGCTCCAGGGCGACAGCTACGACGGCTACCACGACAGCCCCAACTAGTATACCACTCACTAAGCTGCTGGGGCGTGAGAGACTCGCGTGAGCGTTGCTGGAGCTGCATCTGGTCCCTTGCTAAGAGCTAGCAGCAGCAGCAGCTCGGGCAGGGCAGGCGCGGCAGGCCGGCAGACAGACAGGCAGGCCGGCAGGCAGGCAGGCAGGCAGGTAGGCAGGCAGGCTGACAGGCAGACAGGCCGGCAGGCAGGCAGGCAGACTGACAGGTAGGCAGGCAGGCCAGCAGGTAGGCAGGCAAGCCGACAGGCAGACAGGCCGGCAGGCAGGCAGGCAGGCAGGCTGGCAGGCAGGCAGGCAGGCAGGCAGGAAGGCAGGCAGGCAGGCAGGCAGGCAGGCAGGCCAGCAGACAGACAGGCAGGCAGGCAGGCAGGCAGGCAGGCAGCCAGGCAGGCAGGCAGGCAGGCAGGCAGGCAGGTGCTCACCAAAGGCTGGAAGAGTAAGTGCTCGCCGGGCGAGCAGGGCCGAGTAGGCGCACGACTGCAGCGACGGTGGAGCCGTAACAGCGACTGCAGAGTAGGGCCGCAGCAACTGCAGGGTGGGGCCGCTTCAGCGGCAGTCGCAGAGTGGGGGCCGCATCAGCGGCAAGTCGGGGCCCCGGGAGCTGCAGCGCGGGGCCGCAGCAGTGGAAGGTCGGGGCCGATGCAGCTGCAGGCTATGCAGTGCAGCGCGCGCGGCTGCTGTGGGCTGTGCGCGGGCTGCGGGAGGCAGAAGCAGGCCGCGCGCAGCAGCAGCAGGCCGCGCGCAGCTCAGCAGGGGCTGCGCGCAGAAGCAGGAGGCCGCGCGCGGCTCGGCAGGGGCTGCGCGCGGCTCGGGGGGGGGTCGCGCGCGCCAGCAGCGGGCTGCGCGCGGCTCGGCGCGGGCTGCGCGCAGCTGAAAAAGGGCCGCGCGCGGCTCGACAGGGCTGCGCGCAGCCAAAAACGGGCCGCGCGCGGCTCGAATAGGCTGCGCGCAGCAGGAAACGGGCTGCGCGCGGCTCGACAGGGCTGCGCGCGGCTCGGCGGGGACACGCGCGGCTCGGCGGGGGCTGCGCGCGCCAGATCCGGGCTGCGTGCGGCTCTATGGGGCTGCGCGGTAGCAGCAGCAGACGGCACAGTAGGCAGCAGGCAGTAGGCTACAGGCAGACGGCGCGCGCAGCGCAGCACGTCACAGGCACAGGCACAGGCACAGGCGTGGGGTAGCGGTAGGTGGGCCCGGAAAAAAAAAAACGGTCCTACGGACCTACTGCTCTGAAACCATGTTAGAATCTAGAGACAAGGATGATGCATTGATCAAGAGTTGGGTACATAAGCTAACCCTAACATTGGGTTGTACCCCATATGGGCTACCCCACTAGCAGCCTACACAAACACAATATGCATAGTTTGACAGAGAAGGAGCGGGCCAAGGCCAAGTTTGTTAAGGGGAGTGGCCGCCGGCTGGTGCAGGTGGAGGAGGAGGAGCTAGACGAGGGCATGTGGGGTTCTGCAGGTGATGGCAGTGAGAGTGATGACGATGCCAGTAGCAGTGGTGATGATGCGAGCGATTCTTCAGATGATGACATGACATGAGCTAGTTAGCTAGTTAGTTAGTTAGTTATATTATTTTGGATTTTTTTTACACTGCAGGTTCAGTTTAGTAAGAATTTTTACACTGACAGTATCAGTATATTGAAAACCACCAACGCTGATTTGGACACCTGGTTGGCACGCTGATCCATCAGCATACCCTCAAACCAATCTGAGGGCCCGACTAGGATCAATCGGGGATTTCAAGTGGACCTCTGACACCCCCCCACACTGAGATGCGCTAGGTGCACACACTGGGATTCGAACCCGAGATTTTTGCTCTGATACTATGTCAGAATCCCAGCCGCTAACCACTGGGATAAAAGGGTTTGTTTGTTAGCGGGTGAGTGCGCCCATAACCCCCCAGGCCAACGTGCTTGTAACCCTTCCCTAGGATCAATCGGGGATCTCAAGTGGACCTCTGACACACCTTTTCCAGATTATCCCCAAGGTTCACATCAGGTCACTGTAAGGGACTCGCTGAGCCAGGGTGCATGACATCCAAAAATTTGGATTCCAAATCCGGGCACTGTTTTGAGGACACACATGGTTCAGGGCAGTGAGGGACAAAATATTTACGCATGGTTACCGGTACTTGGTTATTACCGTGTGAATACCGCTTCAGACACATGAGAAAATATAAAACAAACAATATACACTCCGAGAACAAGAACTTCAACCAGTCTATTTGTACCATTCAGTGAACTTTTTCCAGAATATAAGCACAAAAAGTCCTACACCAAACAGCACGACTGGCGAGGACGGAGCGTTGTTATGGCTTGCAAGCAGGGTGGCAAAGTGGGGGTTGTGGGAGACGAGGAGCAGAAGCAGGCCAAGGGAGAAGAGCAGACCCCCTGCTGCCACCAGGGAGCGACTCAAGAAAGGCTCCTGGTGAGAAGGAAGGGGAGGGGAGGGTGAGGTGGGACAGGACACGGGGGATAGGGAATGAGAAGCAGGCAAGGGAGAAGAGAAGGTCCCCTGCTGCCACCAGGGAATGGCTTAAGACAGGCTCCTGGTGAGAAGAAGATGGTAGAGGGAGGATGAAAGGGAGAGAATGGGGGAGGGGAATGAGAAGCAGACCAAGGGAGAAGAGAAGACCCCCTGCTGCCACCAGGGAACGACTCAAGAAAGGCTCCTGGTGGAAAGGAAGATAAGTGAGGGAGGACGAGGGGATGTGGCGACACGAGAGAGAGGGTGGGTGGGGGCGGGAATGAGAAGCAGACCAAGGGCGAAGTGGAGGCTTCCTGCTGCCACAAGCAAACGACTTAAGAAAAGCTCCTGGTGAAAAGGGGAAGGAGTGGGTGTCCAGGGAACGGGGACTAGGTGGAGAGAGGAGGAGAAAGGGAGAGGGGAAGAGAAGTGAGGGGCAGAGGGGAAACAGGTTGGGAATGCAGGATGGAGGAACGGGGATGAGAAGAGCAGAACCCCCCCCCCCTTACCACCAGGGGAAACGAGGAGACCTGCTGCTACCAGCGAAGGACTTAAAAAGGGCTCCTGGTGGGGAAGGAAGGCAGTTGCCCCTAGACGGTCCATGCCTCGAGTTCCGCACTGGCTGCAACCTTACCCACTCTCTGCCCTTCCTGAATTTCCCCCACTCACCAGAGATTCACCCTCTCCCCCCTCTTCCCCCCCACTGCAACTCCACAGACGACATATGGTTCCCATAGGGCGTGATTCTGCTTCCCGGCTTGCCGGAGCAGATTAGCGGATTCGCTACCAGTTCTAGCCCGCACACACCCTCCTCTTCGTCCTACCCAGCACCTCCCAGCATGCTGCAGCACCCCCCTGCACCGCACAGCATCCCGCACCCCTCTGTCCACACAAGCCCACCTGTGGTTCCCCATTCAGCGTAATTCGGCTGCCTGGCTTGCCCGTGCAAGTCGCCAGCGAAAGTCCACCGATTCCGCGGATTCGCCACCAGCTATAATCCGCGCGTCCCCCAGCAACCCCCTGCACCCCCCCCACCCCGCAGCAACGCCCCACCCCCCTGCCTTAACAGACGCACCTTCTGCCGCCCGGCTTGCCGGTGTATATTGTCAGTGACATGAGATCTCCTTTCCAACCATCTCCATGTCGTCTCCCCCATTTCCAACCCGTGCCGGCCCGCACTCCAAGCACTCCCAGCAAACCTCTCCCCACCCCGCAGCACCCTGCAGCACCCCGCAGCAACTCCCCACCCCCCTGCCTTCACAAACGCACCTGCGGTTCCCCGTCGAGGGTGATCATGCTGCCTGGCTTGCCCGCGTAGGTCTCAGCGACAATCCGTTCTGCCCCCCAGCACCCCCCAGCACCCCCCAGCACCCCTCAGCATCCCCAAGGAAACCCCGCCACCCGCATTCCCCTACCCCCACAAACGCCCACCTGAGGTTCCCCATCAATCGTGATTGTGCTGCGCGACTTGCCAGTGTAAGTCGTCAGTGACAGCCCGTTCCGCATGTTCCCGCCAGCTCTAACCCACGGTCCCCCTCGTCTCCGTCCCACCCCCCACAGCACCCCGCACCCCCTTGCACCCCCCTGCACCCCGCAGCACCCTGCAGCAACTCCCCAACCCCTGCCCTCACAATCCCCACCTGGGGTTCCCCATCAAGCGTGATTCGGCTGCCCGGCTTGCCCTTGTAGGTCGTCAGCGAGAGTCTGTTCCGCGGATTCGCCACCAACTCCAGCCCGCGCACTCCGGTGGACGAGAACGCGAACAGCGCCTTGAGCCCGTGTCGCCTCTTAATCGCCGCCACGTCCAGGCGGTCCGCGTGCCACCCCAGCAGCTGCGCCGCGAACGAACACGCCGGCCCCTTCCCCTTGCCGCCCTTGCCCCGGCCGCGAATGTACAGATCCACGTGGACCTCTCTCATTGGCACGCTCGTGCTGGTAGCTGCCGCGTGGCCGTTTTCGATTGGCAAGTGAGAGCTACTAGTAGTAGCGGTTGCGGATCTCCTAACTATCGGAGAGGCGGAGGCGGAGGCGAAGGCGGAGGCGGAGGCGGAGGTTCTGCTGCTGCCAAGCAGCGGCTCGGATGGAGAGGCGTGGACGTCAAGCGGAGCGGCGAGCAGATCGCCATCGTCTCGAGAGGAGGCGGCAATGCTAGGTCCGTTGTTACGATCGTCGCCGCTCGAGTGAATGGCGGAATGCGTCGAGATCATCCGTTCAGCCATCCTGGCTTGAACGATCGCACGCGATGGCTGAACGATCGCACGCGATGGCTGAACGATCGCACGCGATGGCTGAACGAGGAAGGGGGGGAGATAAAACCGAGGCGGGATAGAAAGCGAAGCGAAGGCCCCTGGAGCACTGACTCCTCGGGGGAAGGCAACCCGAGTCACGGCGGTGATCGTAAGACGTGCGGACACACGGCGAGTCACTGATGGTGTTTGGTGAAGGCAACACTTGTGAGGGTGGAAAGGAATTAGGGCGTGTAAAATTGTAACGACCAAACCAATATTCCGCCCTTTGCACGTTTCTGGCGATTGCGAAACGATGTAACGCGTAAGCGATCCCCGCCACAATTTTCGTGAGCGCGTGGGGCATCCGCCACGAACCATCCCCGTAATTGAAAGCAAAAAAAATGATTCTTACTACTGCATTCGAACGGGGTGGGAATAAAGGGGGCTTGGAGGCCTAGACCCGAGTGTTTAACAAAGCATTAAGTTTAGGCGAGCACAAAGGTTTTTCCACTCGCTGAGGAAACATGTCTACGTAGGTCCCAAAATGCAGTGCGTCCAATTTCTATGCAGAATACCCTTGCTATTTGGTCAAATCGGGGTGACTACTCTAAACGTCGTAACCCTAATTCCTCGCAATCGCCAGAAACGCCCAAATGAACGACCAGAGCGTTTGGTCGTTACAATTTTACACACCCTTAGGGAGGAGGTAGACTGGGTGTACTGGTGATGGAAGGTTGTTGGGGTTTGGGTTGGGTTGGGTTGGGTTGGGTTGGGTTGGGTTGGGTTGGGTTGGGTTGGGTTGGGTTGGGCGTGAGCTCAGCCGCTTCACCGCTTTCAACCAATACCCACCGTCCTTGATACTTGAAGAGTGAACATTGGAACAAGGAAAGCTCAATGGGCAGGGCGTGCAACCGTTTCAGAAAGCAATTCAAAGTGCGTACGTCTTACGGACGCGATGCGACGTGGCCAACGGCTATTGGCGACAATGGTTACCGTAAGAAAGTCCGTATGGACCATTGTGCGAACGGCATAACAGAATGGTTACATAGGGCTGTCGCAGTGGTCCAAAACAATTGTTTGGCTTCATATTCGGACTTTACAAGCAAAGGTCACCCAAGATGGTGGACCAACAGTTCGAATGACGCTTGCTCATTGGTTACATCCAGTTCTGACCGTGGTGATCATGACGTCACAATATACCTCAGCGGACGAAAACTGCCGCCCAGATTCGCGGTTTCGATATGACAAAGGGCCCCCAAGGGATTGACGACCTCCCGACGACTTCCGAGCGGCAAACTGGGCCGAACTGGCGTCCCGGGGGCCACGGGAGCCCTCGGGATTGTCGACAATCCGACGACCTACGTTTCCGCTGGGAGATACCTGAGAAGGAAATCTCAGCGGACAAAATAGGAAAGCTCGCCACGTCGAGCCGCGACTGCTGCCACGCGGCCCAATAGGGACGAGCCAGGAGGTCCCCCACGATGACAAGACTGCCACGACGCTCACGTCGTGGCCACGCGTCGCTCCGGCGGTGAGTGTTTCGCGCGGGAAGTCGACGCTCCCGCCAAAATTGTCGGTGCTCGATCCACGCGGCGCAGATTGGACCGTCAAGTTTGGTCAGTGTCGACCAAGATATCCAACGGTCCACAACCGAGCCACGCAGCACAGTCACAACAGTGTCCATGTTCAATGAACCTAACCACACAAATAAGCGCGCCGACGGGTAGTCGGCGCCGATCACCAGGCGATCGCGGTAGGGTTGCCACGCGGCCCCGCAGTAATCCAGTGCCCCTGGGAGATGGAAGTCGGCATGCCGTTATTTCAGCTCTGAGGCGCCAATGTCGGGCCCACGCCACGTCACACATGCCCATTCCCTCGTGGAATGGCCCAGGCTTACGCCCCTTGGGTGCAGCGCGGCGTCCCAGGAGCCATGCTTGGCACGTGACACGTCGGACACTGCGCCGCCGCAGGAGAACGCATGCATAGCGGCAGCAGCATGGGGGGTTGCGTGAAGCACGGCCGCTTCGGAGACGCTCGGGACCGTACTCCTTCGTGACCCTCCGCTTGTGCTCATTCCCTTGTCAGTTCCTGCTTTCCTTCCTGCTCTCCGCTGCCTGTCTTTCTTCGCGATTGTAGGCTTGTCGGCTGCCGACTAATCGATCCCGTCGGCACGGGTTGCTTCTACGTGGTCGCTAACAATCAGGTCGGCGTTTAGGAAAACGAGAGGTCAGTACTGGTCGACGTCGACATCGGACGTGCCAGGGCAACATCGCCGCAAACTATCGACATCTTGGCCGACCTAGCAAGTCTGCGACGCATGGCCAGAGGTCGTCCTAGAGCCCAACAGCCCCAATCCATCCCACCCCCCGCCGACTCAGTAGACGACGACATCAAAGCGGAGCTGGAACGTCTTGAGGTCGAAGCCGAGTTAGACGCAATTGGGCGAGAATTCGAAGAAGACCGTTATTTCGCTCCCGTGATACAGTTCCGTCTCTGGTTTAACAACCTCCGCATCGCACACGGACGACGATAGCACAATCATGGCCGACATGGCCGACGTCGACATGCCCGACGCTAGTCCCCCCACCGACCACAATCCTACATCTACCGACGAAGAGACGCTCCCGTTACTCTACGATCTTGACAAGCTAACGCAGATTCCGGAAGGAGAGTTCACCAAGGACATTCCCCCACCGCCGATCGGGGAGTTCAATAAGAAAAAAAAAACATCAGCCTGCACGAAATGGACAGCCAGGAACGTCGTCGGCACATGCCGGCTCTGGAGACCAAGTTGATGCCGAGGAGGAGGAGGATGAGGAGGAGGAGGAGGAGGAGGAGGAAAGCGATGACGAAAACGACGACCGTCCACCCCGTAGCACTAATCCGCGCACCTTGGACGAACGACTCAGGCGGGAGCTTGAATTCATAGATGAACTGCTCGAAGAGGACGAGGACGCGGACCAGGAGAACATGTCGGTGCCGCGCGAACAGTGGAAGGCGGCAGACTTTGTCGAGGAAGACATGGTGTACGCGTGCATCGACGTGCTCGTCATGGACGCACTACGCCACCTGCAAACCCTGGAGAAGAACAGCACGCTGAGGCAGTACACCTCCTGGATATACCACTACAAGAGGTGGGCGGCGAAGATGTTGAGGCAGATAGGCGGCAAACTTCCCCAGGAGCACAGGCTTAAGCACGTCGACGAGATAGGCCACTACATCCGGGACAACAAGAAGAAGAATTGGGACCAGGAGGCCGATGTCCCCCGGGCGTACGTGTGGCTGCACGGCCCAAGGGTTACCATCACCCGGCTTCGCGCGTACGTGAAGTACATGGTGCGTGAGTGTAAGCTCGATGCCGAGTCCACCGAGGAGGGGGACAACGCCGCGCGAGCCCAGCCTGTGCACTCCACAACGGTGCACACGCTCCTCGAGCGCGTAAAGGCATGCCAGATGGCGGCGAGAGTGGAGGCGACGCTCTACCGGGAGACGGAGCTGAGCATCATGCGGGAGATATCGGTGGTCAGGTCGGAGGTGCGGTTCATGATCCGCACCAAGAACGAGCGGGACATCAAGTAAGTGCAGGTTCAATCTATGTCGTCCACACTCTGATGTCGACGCCGCCCTGAATGACCCTTACTCTTGGCTTTGTGGGCAGGAATTGCGCCGATCGGCGTCGAGGAACCCTCGGCGATACCTACACCGCCGAACAGTTTCGGCAAATCATGATGAGGGTGCTGCCGACGTGGGCGGCGAAGGCGTGGAACCCGCGTGGAACGGGTCCTTCGCAGACACTGTGGAGGTTTCTGCTCATCAAGGTGCTCACGCTTCTCTCCCACCACAGCCTCCTGCGCGGTGCAAGCATCCGCGAGATCACGCTCCCCGACATCTTCTTGTACCGACTGGCGAGCACCTCGTCGGTGAACCCGGAGAACCAGCCGGTCGTAATGATCATCGCTGCGCGGAACTCGAAGACGTCCAAGGATGCTCGTTTGCAGCAGAGCTACGCGGCGCGGCACCTCGAAGCGGAGTTGTGCGCCGTCGGCGAGACGGGCCTGTGGTTGCACTTCGTCCTCGACCAGATCGGCCAGTTTCACGGCGTCCGCCTCATTCCGCCGGTCGACACCAGCACACGCGCGAGCTGGTACAAGAAGCACCTTTTCTTCGCCAAAAACGACACCGACCAAGGGGAGCTCTCTGCGGCAAGCCACCAACGCTGGACGCGGCAGTTGTGGGACACCAACAAAGTGTTCTGCAAGAGGAACGTGCACGCCGCTCGAGCGGGAGGGGCCCAGGAGCTGGCCATCGACGGCACGCCGCGCGCCGAGATCGCGGAGCTGGGTCACTGGGCGCTCGACAAGATGACGCGGGCGTACATCACCGCCATTCCGGTGGGGGTGGTGATGAAGAAGGCCGGGTACTCTGGTTACAAGCAGGACTACTTCTTGGGGCGAAGCAGGGTGGAACCCACCGACAAGCTCCTGAAACTCCTCGCCGAGCACATATTACCCGGCGTCGACGACATGCTGAAGACGGTAAGTTAGTCGATGCCCTCGTAGCCCTGTCTTCGAGTCGTCTTGCCGACCGTGTCTGAACACCTAATACACGTGACGAATTGCAGGCAGAAGGGAAGGCTGCCGAGGGGTCCGACGCCGACAAAGTCGCGGTGCACTTCTGGCGCACACTCCAGATGCTGCGCCGCATCGTCGCCGAGGACCTAGCGGTGAAGCTGGTCCGCGCACCATGGCACCCGTACGTCCAAGGTTCCAAGCTCTGCCGGATCCCCCTCTTCCAGCACTGGGCGAAACGGGTGGAGAGCGTCGACACCGAGACGATAAAAAAGCGTCGCGACCCGACCCAAATTCAGCCAGAGGTAAGTCGACGATTCTGTCGCCGACGGGCAGTATGTAGTGTTAACCAAACCACCGCGGCCCTAACGTCCTTTCTCCTACCGCTGCAGGAAATCTCGGTCCGCATGGACACCGAGTACTACAACATGTCCCTCAAGGCCCAGCTGCAGTCGGAAAGGGAGCGCGCCGCGAACGAGAAGATTGATCTCCTAGAGGAGATCGAGAAGCGCGACGACACCATCGCGGGACTCACCGCCGAGGTAGCCCGTCTCACCGAGGCACTCAGCTTGTCGGAAGCACGGAGAGTGCCTGAGGCCCCGCCGTCGGCGCCCGTGCAAGCTCCCAGCGAGGGTGGCTCGGCGGATTCGGCCAGCACGGGGGCTGGAGCCAAGAGAGGGGATGACAAACCCCCGCCACCCCCACAGACGGACGAGGAGGCTAGTTACGAGCTCAACGTGGTGCAACCGTGGCGGGAGGCAAAGACTGTGAGGGACGCTTGGCGCCTATGGAACTCCGCCACCGCCAATGACACCCGTCGCCTTTGCGACAGGGTCGCCGCGCAGGGATTCGTCGCCCGCCACACCCTCCTCACAGGAAAGGGCGCGACGCAGGGTGGGCTCGACATGAAGGTGCGCCGCATGATGAAGGCCATGGATGCGGTGCGCCAGCTACGCGCGAGCGACGGCGACGCCGACACCGAGGCCGTGGTCGACGCACTGAACAGGATCGCGGCACCGGGCATTGGGACCTTCTGTGACGCCCTCACGGTGCTCAACCCGAAAACGGCACCGATGTTGTCCAAAGAGCCTGGCATGGGAGTCAAGGGGCTGGGCCCCAAGGTGGTCTCGAAGCTTCGCCTCGCCTGTGCGCTTGTGGCGCTCAACCTGAAGCCGAGAGATTGGCTCATCGGTCTGTTTCCAGACACCTGGGAGGAGCAGATGCCGAAGACCAAGGCCGACCTGGCGAAGCCGACCGCACCGGCCAAGTCGACAGCACCGGCCAAGCCGACCGCACCCGTGCAGCGTCCTCCGACCAAGCGCAAGAAGCCAGCATGAAGTCCCTCCTAGGATATGTGTCTGCGTAGTTTGATGCTGTTGATTTTGGCAGACTTACAACCCCCCCCCCCCCCCCCCCCCCCCCCCCTGCCCCTTCGAATACTGTTTCTGGTAGTTTGTAAACAACCCACATCGAGATCCTTGCGAACCCTACTTGTCGGTGTATGTTGTCGCTGACGACCAGTACAATATGTGTCGCAAAACTCGATGTCGACCTTTTGCCGACAAAGCTCACCACCAAGAACCATGTTTCTATCATGTAACTGGTCCTCGCCGACTAGCATGTGCATATCATGTCGACATATGCACCGACATGGCCCATCAGGTGATATTCGGTTAGCATGTTTCTATGTGGACACCGATTTGTTCAACCCAAAGTGAAGCAAACAGAACTGTAGCAAATACGATTCTTGTTACGAAGAAAACATTTATCAAATCTGCGCCGAAATCGGCGCCGGCCATACCGACATAGTACACACCCTAGCAACCTAGTACACATCCGTCCGCCGACTACGCATCCGTACTGTCCTTCGCCTGCTTCTCCGCCTTCGTCTTCTTCCTCTTGCTGCCCTTGCCCTGCTTGACCTTCTCACCCTTCCTCCCCCTGTGCTCCAGATCGTACTCCATCTTCGCGTCACACGGCACATCGATGCCCTCCGCTTTGAGCTTGGGCCCGGCGACGGGGCACATTCCCCAGAACGCCAAGGTCTCGACCGTCGCTCTTGCGATCATGTCGGCCTCGACTTCCTCAATTCCCGCCTCGAAGGCCCTGGCCACTCCATAGCGCTGCAGCTCTGGCGCGACGTTATGTGCAACCTCCCCCGCGGGAGCCTTCCGACTTTTTGCAAAGTCGAAAACCAAGTGCATGACCTTCTTGAAGCGCTCGGCCCTCTCCTCCCCTGCACCTGCCACCATCGCGGCCGCCTTCCCTTCGCCCACAGCACCGAGCACCGACGCACCCGTCGACATGTAGCACCAGAGGGCGCATGCAGAGGCCGCTAACGCCTGGGCCCCCATCTCCGTCTTCTCGTCCGCCTTACCCTCCGCGCCTTCCATCTCCGCGTTTTCACCCGCCTTCCCCTCCGCGCTCGTGTCGACCTTCCCAAACGCCACGCTCGCCGCAACCTTCCCATACGCCGCGCACATCGACACGCGATTTACCATCGCCGACAAGAGAGCGGTTGTCTCCGCCTTGCCTGCCTCCGTGTCTTCGATGATGGGGATCCATATCGCCGGCCAGAGCACGTCATGAAGCGCATCACCCGAGCTCGCGTACCCACGGTACCTGCCGAGTATATCGTCGAACCTGCCGCGCAAAAACATTAAAACAGCACGACTTGGTCGACATCAGCGATCTTGACACCGACTTGGTCGACAGAACTCGGCACGTCGGTATCCGACTTACCTTGCTCTCGGATGGCACAAGCCTCTGGCCCACATCACCGTCCACATCCCGGTCGACAGGAACCTGAGCTCCTCCCATACCGCCTTCCATTCATCCAACTGCCCCGGCTTCAAGACGGTGAGCTCCTTCGTCAGCACCTTACCCACGTAGCCGTCGTAGAGCAAGTACGCAATCGCGTGCTCGTAGGCCAGCTCCATCTTGTGCATCGCGCGACTTACCGATGTACCGATTCTGGCCCTTAATCTTGATCTCGCCCACCCACCCAAGCCCGTCGCCAGACCTGTCTCGGCGGATGCCATGACCCCGGCGTCCATGCCCTTCCTCCTCCTCCCCCTCCTCCTCCTCCTCCTCCTCCTCCTCTTCCGCCTTCGCCTTCCTCTTCGTCGGCTTATGTTTGCCGCCCGTCTTGTCCTGATTCCGTGCCGGCTTCTTCCCTTTCTCTTCCGACATCTCATTCCCCGCCGACATCGCCCGCGTGCTCCTCTGCGAGACCGCCTTCCCTTTCCCGTTGTCGTCCTTCCCCTTCCGTCCCGCATTTCCCTCGGCGACAGCAGCCGTTGCAGCCGTCGGCTCCGCCGAACCCCCACCGTGGGTCCCCGACGGCTCCGCATGTGCCGTGTCCATGATGGCCAGTGCTGGGGCATGCTCGGGGCGTTTTGCTGCTTCAAATTGAGCCAGAACGGCAGCGAGGTTGGCATGCCTGTCGGCTCGGCCGCCGGTGGCTAGCGCCGCGCTCACACCCTTCTCCGCCGCAGCATCGACCACAGCTGCACCTGGTGTGGGTGAAGTCGCGTTTACCGACGTCGGCGTCGCGCTTTTGCCGGGTTCCGGCTGAGTCACTTGTCGAGCTCCCGCTTTGCGTGCGCCTAAATGGGCGCGAAGAAACGCGGATTTGGGTTCCGCGTGCGGTGGGGCGGCGACTAGAGGCACGGCAGGTGGGGCACCGGTCGATTTGCCGACAACCTGCGAAGTGACTGAGCGACGTGCTGTATCGGCAAGGGCGGCGTCGGCCACCGGAGGCTGCTGCACGTCCCTGCGATCCGCATCCATGCGGCGGAGCATCTCCCTGAGCGCGTTACTGCCGGCGGGCACCTTAGCAGGTGACGGACCTTCGGGCTTAGCCGCAGCAGCCGTCGCGTCGCCCTTGTCGGCAGTTGGTGCTGCTGGAGCTGGAGGGGCCGCAATGGCCGGCCCATCGTTGTTGGCGCCTGACTTGCCGGCCGGCGCGGGGGTAGCCGCTGGGGACTTACGGGGGATCGACTTGGCAGAGGCGGCCTTCGCGTTGCCCTTGGCCGCCACCGCGACGGACGGTCCTGTCAGAGGTCCACTGGTGATCCCCGATGATCCTAGGGAAGGGTTACAGGCACGTTGGCCTGGGGGGTTATGGGCGCACTCACCCGCTATGTAAACAAGCCCTTTTATCCCAGTGGTTAGTGGCTGGGATTCTGACATGGTATCAGAGCGAAGGTCTCGGGTTCGAATCCCGGTGTGTGCACTTCGGGCATCCCAGTGCGGGGGGGTGTCAGAGGTCCACTGGTGATCCCCGATGATCCTAGGGAAGGGTTACAGGCACGTTGGCCTGGGGGGTTATGGGCGCACTCACCCGCTATGTAAACAAGCCCTTTTATCCCAGTGGTTAGTGACTGGGATTCTGACAGGTCCCTTGGTGGTTCCGGCGCCGCCGTCGTTCGCCGCCTGAGCAGTAGGGGCCTCCTTGTCGGTAACGCCTTTCCCGGAGCTCGCCTGCGGTTTGGTCTGCTCGGCGACCAAAGGCGGGCCAGGCGGTGCAGCGACGTTAGCGGCAACCCCGTCGGCAGGGCCACCCTCTGCCTTCCGCTTCCGCTTCCCTTGCTGTTCGACGTCCTTATCACCTTCCACCCCGCCTTCGACTTTAGCTGTTTGACCACGCTCTGAGTAGGAGGCTTCGTGCCGCGGCTCCCGTCCGATCCCTTGCTCCGCTTCACGCTCTCCTTGTCGTCTCCGTCGCCCGTCCTCTTCTCGCCCTGCTTGTCGGCCGCCCTCCTTTGCGCTTGATCTGCGTCATTGGCCGACGGCGACGACCCACGTCGACCAGGCGCCACCGTGCCGATCATCTCGGTCAACATCTTCATCCCGAAAGCAACGAACGACTGCTGGGTGGCCTCCGTCACCGTCTTCATGATGTCGGCCTTGAACGACTTCAAGAGCTCTTCCGGGAGGGCGGGCGGCGTGGGCTGAGGCGGTGGCGGCGGCTGCACGGGGAGCCTGGAGGTCACAGCGGTGGCGATGTTGACCTGCGCGGCGGATAGTTGCGTCGTGATGTACAGCTCCAAACCCCGCCTCGCAGCGCCCACCACCCCATCCACGTGCTCGGCCAAGGCGTCGACAGCTTCAGCGCGTGCACATGCCACACGACCCTCCGGATTGCCGAAGTGTCAGAATCCCAGTCACTAACCACTGGGATAAAAGGGCTTGTTTGTGTAGCGGGTGAGTGCGCCCATAACCCCCCAGGCCGACGTGCCTGTAACCCTTCCTTAGGATCAATCGGGGATCACCAGTGGACCTCTGACACCCCCCCGCACTGGGATGCCCGAAGTGCACACACCGGGAATCGAACCCGAGACCTTCGCTCTGATACCATGTCAGAATCCCAGTCACTAACCACTGGGATAAAAGGGCTTGTTTGTGTAGCGGGTGAGTGCGCCCATAACCCCCCAGGCCAACGTGCCTGTAACCCTTCCCTAGGATCAATCGGGGATCACCAGTGGACCTCTGACACGAAGTCCTCCAACCACGCCGACGCCTGTTCCGCGAATGTCTTCATCGTCTTCCACGCTTCGTCGAAGCTGCCGGTGATGTTGCCCGTGATGGTCTGCGACATGGCCTCCGCCGCGTTTCGCAGCTGGTGCGCCGCAAACTTGTCGGTGTCGTCGATCTGTTCGGCCAACTCTTTCAGGTGGTCGACGAGTCCACGTAGCCCAACAAAAAACGCGTCCAGCCGAGCCTGCTCCTCATCGAGCAACGCCTTCAGCCGAGCGTTCTCCGCCCTCAACAGCAAGTTCTCCCGCAGCAGTTCCTCGACGTCGACCTGTTCAGGGCCCTGCCGACCAGATGCTTCCGCCGTCTCCTGCATGTCTGTGATGTTCGCCCCTTCGCCGGCGTCGACCGACACCTTCGCACCTTCGCATGCCGCCTCCTCCTGGCCGTGTTCCGTCGTTGCCTCCGCGCCGACCTCATCCTTCTCCTTCCCCCCATCTTCTGCCGACCTCGTAGCATTACCCGCATCGCCATCCTCCGCTTCCTCGTTCTTTTCATCCGCCGACCCCAACGCCACAACCGTACCGTCTTCGTACTGCAGCTCGTACTGCACCTCGGCCTCCACCCCCTCCTCGTCGTTCTCCGCCTCATCCTTCCCTTCCTCAACCTCCACCACCTCATCGTTCTCGTCCTCGTCGTCCTCCTCCTCCTCCTCTTCGTGATCCTCCTCGACCTTCTTCTCTTTCGCCGCCTCGTCCTCCTCCTCCCACTCCGACTCCGACTCTGAGTCCGAATCCGACGACTCCGAATCTTGAACCTTCCTTCCTGCACCTGCCGCGGCGTCACCTCCTCCTCCTCCTACACCTGCCGCGGCGTCGCCTCCTCCGGACACCGGCAAGTCCACATGGTGCTGGTCGGCAGCTGCTGCCTGGGGCGCCGTCTGACTTTCAGCGCCGTCGTCATCAATCGCACTGTCGGCGGTTCCAACGGCTCCTAAAGTCGGCGCCGCAGATCGTTTTTCGGCGACGCGTTTGCAGATGTACTCGACCATGCTATCACGGAGCGACTTCAAACCCTTTGCCTTGATGTTCTCGATGCTCACCGCACTTCGAGCCTTGTCGCCCGTCAGCAGGTCGATCTGCTTGGCCACCCACCCGAACGACGTCGCGGCAAGCATGCCGGTGCCGACATGCCCGTCCGACACTGTGCCCGGCACTTTCTGCATACAACACAGGCAAGCGCGGAACAATATGAGCGGTGCATACAGATACGCGCAGAACGTTAAGAGCGGAGCTTTAACGCGCAACTCACGTCGCGGATAGGGTCGTCGCAGTCGGCAAGCCTGTCCTCGACCACTGCTTGTGATGGCGGCGCCCCGTCCCACTTCCTACCGGGACGCCCCAGCTCGGCCAGGACAGCCGTGCGGAATAGCCTGGAGCATCGTAGTAAAAAGAAAAAGGTCAGCATGTGATACCCTCCGTCGGCGACTAACAAGCAAGAAAGCGACGACTATTCACAACTTACTTCAGCACGCGGACGGCCTCGTCGCGGTGCTTCAGTTTCCCGGTATGCGGGTCGATGTGCCGGATCGAGGTCCTGCAGACCTGTCCCTCAGCCTTCAGCAGATCTCCTGGGTAGAGGATGGCTATGACGCTGCAGTGTGACCCTGGAAGCGGGCCGCCGCTGCACATGCAAGACGGCGTCGACCACATCATTAGGCGATGATGCGATCGACTACACAAAACGACAACTGGACAACGGGGGACCAGCTCACGTCGATCGCAATGGGATAGCGGCGATGTCGGCGTCGAAAACCGTCGCAAAGCAAGAATGGTCGGCGGCCTTCATGGCCGATCGAAGCGGGCCGACTCCGATTACCCACAACCGCTGGTCGTCCCACCCAATGCGAAACCAAGCGAACCTGAGGGCACGAGTGAGCATGGGGGAAGATAACATGGCTGGTGAGCAAACGCAACCAGGTCGACGTCTACCGTACGTCAAGCGCGGACAGTACGTGGTCGACGCTTGCTTTGCCGACCGACGTCCCTGGACGGGGACCATGCATGTTCTCGCGTACTCGGACGTACGTCTGATGACAAACAGCGACAATGCGACTTCCAACGGAGCTAGAGTTAGTCGGCGCCGACATCGACACTATTCAACCACCGCGACTACCCGAGTCCCACCTGATGCCGAGTCCCAAGCATCTCTCGCTGAACTCTCTCCTATGGTCGCGAAGGATGGCGAAGTCGTTCCACTCGAAGGTGAAGCTGAGACCGCGACCCATTCGCACACGAAGGGGAAAGTCAGCCGAAGTCGGCGCCGACTTATCGGCGTCGGGGCTCGGCTCCATATCTATCGACTAACAAAAGACGCGGACGGCTAAGTTAGGAGAGAGCGGAGGCGCAGAGCTGTCAAGGTCTGAAAATCGAAACGGGATGCGGAAAATGAGGAGCGAAGCCACCTTCCAGCAAGAAATGGAGGTGGTGCCCCACCCCAGGCCCGTTCAGCATCGCCCAAGGGTGTGGGGCCTGTCTCGGCAGGGCTCGGAGGGCGCATGCGCAAGTGGCACGGGTGGCCCGTCTCCGCCTTGGCAGGGCGTCGACTTCGCTTCCATTGGCCCAGGTCGGCGAGGGGACGCACACCTCGCATGCGCGCGGAGCGACGCTACGGCCGACACGTGTCGATTTCGTAGCGGATCCCGATGCGAGAGGTTTTTGATTTCGCAGCGTGTGAAATTTCGCTTGCGCCCGATGCGAAGCCATGGGCGAACACGTGGCGGCACTGCAACGGGTCGCGAAATTGTCGAGTGTCCCGAGGGGGCCCCGAATTTTCGCACGCCCCTCGCCTGCCCGTCCGGGCAGGCCGCGATGGGTTACTAGGACCTCGCGGGCAGGTGGCACGTGTGGGCTGCCTTCGCGCGAGGGTAACTTTCCCTCGCGCGAGGGGTCGCCAGCTCGCCGACCCCACCCGGTAACGTGGGTCGCTGTTCATGTTCGGAGCGGGGCTGCGGGGCGGCGGTCGTGCGCTCGGCCCAGCCCTGGGCCAGGCTGGCGGGCCCGCACGCGCGTCAGTCGCCCGCCTCGTCAGGCCCGGCTCCGACGACCCCGGTCGACGACACTGGCAAATCGGTTGTGATGACCGAATTGCGATGAGGCTTTCGTGCAAGCCGTGTGCTTGTTGGCGGTGAGGAAAAAGCGCGCCGATGCCGGGGATCGAACCCGGATCTTCCGCGTGACAGGCGGAGATACTGACCATTATACTACATCGACATGTCATCAGGTTGCTTGCAATCTTTTATAAATTGTTACCACGGTGCAAAGCGGTTAGGGCTCGAACTTGGACAACTTTTGCCAGATCCCACACGCCCTTACTAGAAATTGTATTTAGTTGGGACCAGGCTGACACCGCACGCCCCCTCGCTTCTATATTTCCCTTGACTGACTGCGTCGTGCAGCGGCTCTCGCAGCAGGCCCTGCTCCTCGACGCCCGGGACGCTGCATCGCCGCGACGTTTTAGCATTAGTGGTGGTGGTGCTGCGCCGCATCATCTTAGCCTCTATCCACACTACTTCGCGCCTCCGCGCCCCCTTCACCCGCAAAGCAGGTGAAGGCGAGATGGATGGCTCTGTGGAGGGAGATCGTAGCGTCCTGGACGCCGCTGGTGGAACCGAACCAACAGACGAGGGTGACGTGGCAAAAGCAGTGCCGTACGATGCACAGCTGGTCCTGCCGCCGTCTACCCGTCCGCCTGTGCGACCCGCGACCGTGCACCTCTCGATGGACGACTTTCTCTGTCCTATCTGCCGCGATCTAGTCTTCAAACCCGTCGTTAACGGTGCGTTTTCACGTGCGACCGTCCTTATTGACGGCTGCGGCCAGGAGACATTCGTTTCCTGGCCAGGAGTCCGACCTAGTCGCATGTGGGCCAGCGAATTGGCTGACCTCGTCGGTACCGAATTCAAGGATTCAAGAATGAATCCAAGAATGAGCCGTCGCTCGTCTCTCCCCCTCTGATACAGAGCTACGCCCCCCGCTTCCCCCCTCGCTTTCTCTCATATCCCCCCCTCCCCCTCCCCCCCCCCCCCCCCCCCCCCCCCCCCCCCCCCCCCCCTCCTCAGCGTGCGGGCACGTGTTCTGCTTCTGGTGCGTGCATCGCGCCATGACGCCCTACAGCGAGAGCCGCTGCCCCATGTGCCGAAGGGCCTTCGCGCACTTTCCCGGGGTCTGCTGGCTGCTGCACCGCTTCCTTTCCGCCTCCTTCCCCGCGGAGCTCCGCGCGCGCGCCAGGGACGTCGCGGAGGAGGAGCGCGCCATGGGGACCTTCTCGCCCGCCGCGCCCCCTGCGCCCTACGCGCCCCCCGCGCCCTCTGCGTCCATGGCGCCTTCCGCGCCCTCCCTGCTTGAGGCGGAGGCAGAGGCAGAGCCCCCGAGCAGAGCTGGCGCGCACATGAGAGGTGTGGCGCAGGAGAAATCAGTGGAGGGGCGAGCGGGGGACGGCAGGGGAGAGCCGCTGAGTGTGGAGGAGGAAGTGTTTGTGGCGTACTGGCAGCAGGAATTCTCGTGTGGGGTCTGCCGCCTGCTGCTGCTACACCCCGTGGTGCTCAACTGCGGCCATGGTGGGTTCAGTTCGGTGGTAAGGGGTTCAGTGCGGTGGTGGGGGGTTCAGTGCGGTGGTGGTGGTGGGTGCAGTGCGGCGATGGTGAGTCAAATGCATGCGGTCATGGTGGGTCCAGTACAGTGAACTGTGAAAAGTTACCATATTACCCGTTTCGTTCCTTTCGCCATTTCCCTTCTCATATCCCCCTTCATTCACCCTCCGTTCATTCACCCTCCGTTCATTCACCCTCCGTTCATTCACCCTCCGTTCATTCACCCTCCGTTCATTCACCCTCCGTTCATTCACCCTCCGTTCATTCACCCTCCGTTCATTCACCCTCCGTTCATTCACCCTCCGTCCATTCACCCTCCGTTCATTCACCCTCCGTCCATTCACCCTCCGTTCATTCACCCTCCGTCCATTCACCCTCCGTCCATTCACCCTCCGTTCATTCACCCTCCGTTCCTTCCTCCCGCTCCCTGCCCCTTCCAATCGTCCGCTCTGCCGCCTCACCACATCCACCAGCGTGCCTCACTCGCCTGTTCGAAAATTCTCGATGACTACTAACCATCCCCTCCTCCTCCCGCCTGTTCCCCTCTTTGTTTCCCCCATAATCCCTCCCCCCTTCCAGTCGTATGCTCTGCCTGCACGTCTACCCACCTCACCACTTCCGCGAGCACTCCCTCACTCGCCCACCCTTCCTCCTCCTCCCCGCCTCCCTCCCTCTGCCACTCCTCTCCCTCCTTGCCTCATCTCAGCCCGCTCCACACCCTCCCTCCGCACACTCTCCCACCCCACTCCCTCCCTGCTGCTGCTGCTTCTCCTCCTGCCGCTTCTCCTCCTCCTCCTCCTCCTCCTCCTGCTGCTGCTGCTATTGCTGGTGTTTCTGATGGTGGTGGTGGTGGTGGTGGTGGTGGTGGTGGTGGTGATACGGTTGGTGCCGGTGCCGCTGGTGCTGCTGCTTTCAGTACTGCTTCTGCTGCTGCTGTTGCTGCTGCTGGTGTGGCAGGGAGGGACGGCAGGCGGTGTGTGCAGTGTGGGGCAGTGCAGCCAACGAGGCGAGTGGAGCCATGTGTGCCGCTGCACGCCGCCCTCTCCGTCCTCTTCCCTGCCGCCCTGCACAGGCGTGTGCAGGAGAGGCACGAGCAGGAGAGGGGCAGAGGGAAAGGGACGGCTGAGATTGCTTGGATGAGAGAGGAAGATGAGGATGATGGTGAGATGGTGCAGATGAGGGGTGAAGGTGAGAGGGGTGAGATGGTGGGCGCTGGGCGCATGGAAAGCAGTGAGTGTGGAAGGCAAGGCAGGGAAGGAGAGGAGGGAGGAAGAGGACTAGGAGGGATGGGAGAGGAGGGAGGAGGTGAAGGAGGAGAAATGAGAGAGAGCAGGGAGAGGAGAGGGAGGCTGCTATCAGCTGGTTCTGGTGCAGAGGGTGTGAGAGAGGAGGGTGTGAGAGAATGGGCTGGCAGGAGAGAGGGGGGAGCAGGGAGTGACAGGAGCAGAGGAGGAGGCGAAGAAGAGGGTGAAGGATTGAGGAGAGGGGGCAACCAGTCTGAGGGGGAGGGAGGGAGGCGAGAGGAGGGGGTGAACAGGGGGGGAGATGTGGCGGTGGTGGGAACGACAGAGGAGAGCGGAGAGGAGGCAGCTCTGGCAGAGGGGCAGCAGCAGATGAGTGAGGGAGAGAGCACGGCGGTGCGGGCGGCGTGGGAGCGAGTCCATGCGGTGGTGCGGCGGATCGACCTGGCACGCCTTGAGGGGGGCAGCGAGGGGAGCAGCGAGGCGCAGGTGGAGGCGCTGATGAGGGAGTTAGAGGAGACGCGACGCGCTAACTTCATCCACATCAGTGTCGGTTGTGATGGATGCGGGGTGAGTTGACTTGGCATTGACTTGCGTTGACTTGAGTTGACTTCGGGTGCTATGAGCTGAGCAGGCAAGGGTCAATGCAAAGCAAGAGGTAATCAGGCAACCCTACTTCATCCACATCAGCGTGCGTGCGGTGTGATGGATGCGAGGTGCGTTCACTTGAATTGAGTGGCGTTGACTTGAGTTGACTGTGTGTTTGACCAAGCCTTTTCTCGTCAAACCCTTCTCCCTCCCTCACCCAGTTTTCCCCCTCCCTTGTCTTTCCTCCCGACTTGGTTCCTCTCTCCTCCCTGATCTTCCCCCATCCCCCTCTACCCCCTCCAGGCCTTCCCCATAGTGGGGGCGCGCTACAGATGCCTTGACTGCCCCGAGAGAGTGGGCTTTGATCTCTGCGCCGCCTGCTACAGCTGCCCGCCCCCGGTGGTGGGGCGCTTCAACCAGCGCCACGTCAGCACGCACCGCATGGTGGAGGTGCGGCAGCGAGACGGCGTGCTGCATCGGATATTCGAATCGGTGAGTCTCAACTGCATGGAGTGAGGTGGCTTTAGCTGGAAGCCTGTTTGCTGCTTCAAATCAGTGAGCTCACAGAGCGCGGTGGAGGTGCGGCATGTGCGCTATGGCATGTATGGCATGTGCGGAGAGAAGCATGTCTTGTGTTTCCCCCAAATGCTGTCTCTCTTAACATGTGCCTTGGTCGCCACCCAAGCCCATTTCAGGTGCATCCGGAGCTCATGGCGCGGCTCATGGCATCTATAGAAGAGGAGGAAGAAGAGAGGGACCATGAGGGGGAGAGGGGGATGGCGATGGAAGGCGAAGGGGCGGATGGGAGCGGGGATTTGAGTGGAGAATGGGAGGAGGCGAGTGGGGACGGAGATGATGAGGGCGAGGATGGTGGTGATGGTGGGGTATCTATTCCGTAAAAGTGGATACCGGTAGTAGTGGATATTGTAGCAAGTAGCATATCCAAAGGTATCACAATGCATATCTCACGGTTGCACTATCTGTATAGAAATACCGTATGGCCCTCGATAGTAGCGCAGGTGCGCTTATAATAAAATCCTTTTTTTTTGGGGGGGGGGGGGGGGGGGGGGGGGGGGGGGGCGCTTCTAAATGAGTTGCGGGCATAAGCGCCGGCGCTTTTATAATGACAAATACGAAATTATATATTTAGACCACCAAATTGTTCATTTTCCTCTTGCCATTTCGACCGAGTCGAAATGTTTTAGCGTCACAAACCAGAATCTCGCGCACGCGATATTTTGGGTTCACACACAGGCAAAGACACGTCACTGCCAGCACATCCTGACTGGACGCGCAGCCAGTCAGGTCTTCGCGAGTCAAATGAAGCGAAATTGAAATCTGACTCGCTGCAAAAATAAAATTCGTTACTGTTTGTAGCAAGAGTTTAAATAAAAATTACATGTGCACTTATAATAAGTAAAGGTTTTCTAAGCGGGGCGCTTATAAGCGCCATGCTCCAGATAGAAGCGCCGGCGCCTTTAATCGGACGGCGCCTATATCCGGGGCGATACGGTACAGGTAACACGAATTACTAAGAGCAGGTTCACATGCTCTGGTTCTCTTCATGCATGGTACAACCTTGCCTAATGAAATATTCACAAGTTGGTGCCTGGCATGATTATAACCTTGCTTATCACTTGACGGCAGTGACGTGGCGATGCGTGGCACATTCCGTAGTGATTTGACAATGCGTGGCATAGCCCGTAGTGACGTGGCGATGCGTGGAGCTGCCCATAGTGACGTGGCGATGCGTGCCGCTGCCCGTAGTGATGTGGCAATACGTGGCGCTGCCCGTAGTGACATGGCGATGCGTGGCGCTGCTCGTAGTGACATGGCGATGCATGGCGCTGGTGGTGGTGACGTGGCGAGGCGTGGCGCTGCCGGGAGTGACCTGGCGATGCGTGGCGTGGCCCGTAGTGACATGGCGATGCGTGGCGTTGCCTGAAGTGACGTGGCGATGCGTGGCGGTGCCGGCAGTGACGTGGTGATGCGTGGCACATTCCGTAGTGACGTGGCGATGCGTGGCGTAGCCTGTACTGACGTGGCGATGTGTGGCGCTGCCCATAGTGACGTGGCGATGCGTGGCGCTGCCGGTAGTGACGTGGCAATGCGTGGCGCGGTCCGTAGTGACGTGGCGATGTGTGGAGCTGCCCGTATTGACGTGGCGATGCGTGGCACTGCTGGTGGTGATGTGGCGTGGTGTGGCGCTGCCGGGAGTGACATGGAGATGCGTGGCACGGCCCGTAGTGACATGGCGATGCGTGGCGCAGTCAGTAGTGACGTGGCGCAGTCTGTAGTGACGTGGCGATGCGTGGCGCTGCCGACAGTGACGTGGTGATGCGTGGCACATTCTGTAGTGACGTGGCGATGCGTGGCGCTGCCCATAGTGATGTAGCGATGCGTGGCGCTGCCTGTAGTGACGTAGCGATGCGCGGCGCTGCCCGTAGTGACGTGGCAATGCGTGGCGCTGCCCATAGTGACGTGGCGATGCGTGGCGCTGCCCGTAGTGACGTGGCCATGCGTGGCGCTGCCCGTAGTGACGTGGCGATGCGTGACGCAGCCCGTAGTGACGTGGCGATGCGTGACGCTGCCCGTAGTGACGTGGCGATGCGTGGCGCTGCCCATAGTGACGTGGGGATGCGTGACGCTAGCCGTAGTGACGTGGCAATACGTGACGCAGCCTGTAGTGACGTGGCGATGCGTGGCGCTGCTCGTAGTGACGTGGCAATGCGTGGCGCTCCCCGTCGTGACGTCGCGAGTCGTGGCGCTGCCCGTAGTGACATGGCGATGCGTGGCGCTGCCCGTAGTGACGTGGCGATGAGCGGCGCTGCCCGTAGTGACATGGCGATGCGTGACACTGCCCCTAGTGACGTGGCGCTCCCCGTAGTAACGTGGCGATGTGTGGCGCTGCCCGTAGTGACGTGGCTATGCGTGCCACTACCCCTAGTGACGTGGCGAATCGTGGCGCTCCCCGTAGTGACGTGGCAATGTGTGGCGCTGCCCGTAGTGACGTAGCGATGCATAGCGCTGCCCATAGTGACGTGGCGATGCGTGGCGCTGCCCGTAGTGACGTGGCGATGAGCGGCGCGGCCCGTAGTGACATGGCGATGCGTGACACTGCCCCTAGTGACATGGCGCTCCCCGTAGTAACGTGGCGATGTGTGGCGCTGCCGCCCGTAGTGACGTGGCTATGCGTGCCACTACCCCTAGTGACGTGGCGAATCGTGGCGCTCCCCGTAGTGACGTGGCAATGTGTGGCGCTGCCCGTAGTGACGTAGCGATGCATGGCGCTGCCCATAGTGACGTGGCGATGCGTGGCGCTGCCCATAGTGGCGTCGCGATGCGTGGCGCTGCCGTAGTGATGTGGCCATGCGTGGCGCAGCCCGTAGTGACGTGGCGATGCGTGGCGCAGCCCGTATGGACGTGGCGCAGCCCCTATGGACGTGGCGATGCGTGGCGCAGCCCGTGATGATGTGGCGATGCCTTACGTTTTTTTTTTTTTTTTTTTTTTTTTGTACATTTTTTTCCATCCTCTATACATAAAAAATAAAGGATGAAGAAAATCAAGTGAATGGTAGCTAAGTGACTGACTGTTATGTATTTGCCACGTCAATTTACCACGTGCCGAACAACATTCCTTCTCATTTTCTAGTTTGCTTTGACTGAACCTATATAGCATGAGTTGCTAAAATGATGTACTGTGAACGCGTAAGTGTTTATTCCGTGATGCATATGCCTGATGATGTTATGCGTAGATGAATTAAATGCAAAATGCATAATTAAAATGCATATGCTATTGTGGTAGTGAAATGAATGCATAGCATGATGAAAATGCGTAACAGTTAATTGACCCAGACCCTATGCTACCGCATCCCCTGCCTAGCATGGGGGGGAGCTCAATAGCACAGTTCTTGAATCATCCAACTGTCACATGAAACAACACAATCTGTGTGATCTAAAAAAAAGGTCAATTCTATCAAATCCAGTTCAAATGGACACACTCACTGAGTGCGCAAAGAACCTTCTCGGAAATGATAGTTTAATCCCAATTTTTAAAACCCACAGACATGTGTTAAACTGTATTATGCTTGTAGGCTGTAGTGGGGTAGCCAATATGGGGTACAACCCCAACTAGGGTTTCATATTTGTACCCAAACTTCTGCTAGTTCATCCTCCTTGCCTAGTGATTCTGACATGGTATTCAGAGCAGGAGGTCCCTAGGACCTACCGACCGTTTTTTTTTTTTTTTTTTAAGGGCCCACCACCGCTCGCATGCGGTTACCACGCTACCCCGTGCCCTAGCCTCGTAGCGCCCTCGTGCGCCCCTCGTTAGCGCCCTCGCGCGCACCCTCGTTAGCGCCCTCGCGCGCCCCTTCGTTAGCGCCCTCGCGCGCCCCTTCGTTAGCGCCCTCGCGCGCCCCTTGCTAGCGCCCTCGCGCGCCCCTCACTAGCGCCCTCGCGCGCCCCTCGCCGAGCCGCCCGCTCGCAGCCCGCCCGCCCGCTCGCTGCCCGCTTCGCGGCCCGCTCACTACGCAGCCCGCCCGCCCGCTCGCTGCTCGCTTCGCGGCCCGCTCGCTCGCTGCCCGCTTCGCGGCCCGCTCGCTACGCAGCCCGCCCGCCCGCTCGCTGCCCACTTCGCGGCCCGCCCATTTCGCAGCCCGCCCGCCCGCTCGCTGCCCGCTTCGCGGCCCGCCCGCCTCGCAGCCCGCTCGCCCCGCTGCCCGCTTCGCGGCCCGCCCACTTCGCAGCCCGCCCGCCCGCTAGCTGCCCACTTCGCGGCCCGCCCGCATCGCAGCCCGCTCGCCCCGCTGCCCGCTTCGCAGCCCGCCCGCCCGCCCGCTGCCCGCTTCGCGGCCCGCCCGCCTCGCAGCGTCGCCCGCCCGCCGTGCTGCCCGCTTGCAGCGCCGCCTGCCCGCCGCGCTGCCCGCTTCCCGGCCCGTCCGCCGCGCTGCCCACTCGCAGCGTCGCCCTCCCGTCGCGCTGACCGCTTGCAGCGCCGCCTGCCCGTAGCGCCAGCCTCGCCCGCTGCTCTCTATCCGTGCACAGTCGCCTTCCCCTGCTGCGGCAGCTTGCGTTACTCTGTCACACTGTCGCTATGGCTTCCATCCGCGTGCTGTCGTTCGATGCTGAGGGCCGCCCTGTGCGGTTCACCGCTTGGCTAGATGACCTGCAGCTGTTCCTCCTGAGCGATAGCAAGGAGCATGTGTCGCTCTATGACTACGCGTCTGGTGCTGCGCCTGCCCCTCCTGCCACAGCTGAGCTTAGTGTTCGTTCCCACTGGCAGACTCGTGACGCAGCTGCTCGCCTAGCCATTCGCAGTCACCTGCCGTTAGCTGAGCTAGAGCATTTTGGCGACTGCAAATCCGCTAAGGCCCTGTACGACGCTGTCGTCGCTCGCTACTCCTCGCCTGCCACAGCCGAGCTTAGCCGCCTCATGCTGCCGTACCTGTTCCCCGATCTGTCCACCTTTACTACAGTCGCCGATCTTATCACCCACCTTCGCACTAGTGATGCTCGCCTGCGTGCCGCCCTTCCCACCGAGTTCTGCGCTAAGAACCCCCCTCCACTGTACTGGACACTCCACTTTATAGTCACTCGTCTCCCTGACACCCTCCGCTCAGTTCGAGACCACTTCCTTGCTCGCTGTCCCACTGAGCTCACAGTCGCCCTCCTAGAGGAGCACCTGCTCGCGGCCGAAAAGAGCATTGTAGCTGTCGGTGCTGCTCGTGGCGCTCCTCGCACCCCCATCTTTGAGGGGTGTTCTCCCTCTCCCCTCGCTCCCTCCTACGCTGCTGCTGCTGCTGTTGACTTCCTTGGTGCTGAGTCTGTTGGCGCTGCTTCTGCTCCTGGTGGGAGGCGCCGCACCGGCAAGGGCAAGGGGGGCAAGGGTGGTGGTGGTGGCGCTGGGGGGGGAGGAGGTGGGGGAGGTGGGGGGGGAGGCGGTGCTGGAGGGAGCGGTGGCGGGAGCGCTGGTGGGAGTGGGGTCGGTGGTGGAGACGGGGGCGGCGGAGGAAGCAGTGGCAGTAGTGGCGGCGGCGGCGGTGGCGGCGGTGGCGGTGGTGGCGGTGGTGGCGGTGCCGGTCGGAGCGGTGGTAGTGGTGGCGGCGGAGGTCGGAGTGGAGGCACTGGCTCGGGCCAGAGCTCCCAGCAGCAGCAGCGTCCCCAGACGACCCAGCAGCTTCGTGAGTGGCTTGCTCAGCGTGGGACGTCGGGGGCCAGTGCCCGCTGTTCTTATGTCATTCGCACAGGTGACCGCAAGGGACAGACGTGTGGGAGGTTCCACACCCCGTACCGCTGCTTCTCCCGCCTTGACGACGCTTGGCGTGAGGAGATGGGTGCGGATGTTGAGCGCCCCCGCTGGGCTGAGCTCATGAGGGCTGGTGTTGATGTCTTTGCTCTTGACTATGATGCTATTATTGCTGCCATGTATGCATTGACTGTTAGTGCCGAGGGAGACTGTTACTTGTGTGTGCCGCCTGACCCAGGTATAGAGCCCGCTGCCCTGGGTACTAGTGAGTCTGCTCTCTCTGGTATGGTACCCCCTGTACTTGCTCCCCCCAGTGCTGTCCCGGCTGGTTTCGAGTCTGCTCTCTCAGGTACAGCACCCACACAGACTCCTCTCTCAGGTACCGCACCGGCTGAGGCCTGTCACACCTTCACCCTTGACTCAGGTGCTTCCCGTTGCTTCTTTCGTGACAGTACTGAGCTCACACCGCTTCCTGCACCGGTCCCAGTCTCCTTGGCTGACCCCTCTGGGGGCCCAGTCCTTGCCCAGTCCACCACTGTCCTCCCTTGTCCGGCGGTTCCGTCTGGCTCGTTGTCGGGTTTCCACCTCCCCTCGTTCTCGACGAACCTGGTGAGCAACGCTGTCCTCCAGGATCAGTGGGTTGACACCTTTACCCCTGGCGGACAGCGTGTGGCGATCTGCACGTGCTCCAGGACTGGCCGTCACCTGGCTACGTTCACCCGTCGGCCGGGGTCGAGTCTCTACACACTGACCACTGCGTCTCCCCAGGTAGCTGCTGTCGGTCAGGTGTCTGCGTCAGGTCTGGTGGCCCACGCCTGTGAGTGTCGTTCCCTGTCGCACCAGACTCTTCTCTGGCACCACCGCCTGGGTCACCCCTCCTTGCCACGCCTTCGTGGCATGCACCGTCGCCTCCTTGTGTCCGGTCTTCCCAGGTCCCTCCCTCCCCTCCCTGCCTCGCCTGCGCCGCCTTGCCTTCCTTGCGTCGAGGGGCGGCAGCGCGCCGCTCCTCACTCCTCCTCGTTCCCCCCGACAGAGGCTCCTCTGGAGACCCTCCACCTGGACGTGTGGGGCCCAGCCCGCGTTCGTGGTCAGGGCGGTGAGCGGTACTTTTTGCTGGTTGTCGACGACTACTCGCGTTACACCACGGTCTTCCCCTTGCGCACCAAGGGTGAGGTCCCTGCTGTTCTGATCCCTTGGATCCGCACGGTTCGTCTCCAGCTCCGCCGCCGTTTCCGGACGGATCTTCCTGTCCTGCGTCTGCACTCTGACAGAGGTGGTGAGTTTTCCTCCGATCTCCTGAGGACCTTCTGTCAGGCAGAGGGCATCGAGCAGACCTTCACGCTTCCGGACTCCCCACAGCAGAATGGGGTTGCTGAGCGCCGCATTGGCCTGGTCATGGAGATCGCTCGTACCTCCTTGGTCCACGCGGCGGCTCCCCATTTTCTGTGGCCGTTTGCTGTCCGGTACGCCGCGCATCAGCTCAACCTCTGGCCCCGTGTCTCCTTGCCGGAGACCTCGCCCACACTGCGTTGGACGGGGGAGGTTGGCGATGCGTCGCGCTTCCGGGTGTGGGGTGCTCGTGCCCTTGTCCGCGATACGTCCGCGGACAAGCTCTCCTCCCGCACGCTTCCCTGTGTCTTCCTTGGCTTTGTCCCTGACGCGCCTGGCTGGCAGTTTTACCACCCCACCTCGCGCCGGGTCTTCGCCTCTCAGGATGTCACCTTTGACGAGTCGGTCCCTTTTTACCGTCTCTTCCCCTACCGCACTGCCCCCCTCCCTCCCCCGCCGCTTTTCCTTGCTCCTGGTCCCCCTCCGGTAGACCCCCTTCCCCCTCAGGGTCCTGCTCCTTCAGGTGTCTCTCAGGTAGACCCTCCTCCCGTCGCTGAGCCTGTCGAGGTCACAGGTGACTCAGGTGCTGCTGCGGGTGGTGCTGCTGGGAGTGCTGAGCCTGGGGGTGCTGAGCCTGGGGGTGCTGGGCCTGGGGGTGCTGGGGCTGCGGGTGCTGGGACTGAGGGTGCTGGAGCTGAGGGT